ATTTGAGAGAGAGAAAGTGTGATTTCCCCATTTAAAAATTTAAAAACCTGAAATGGATTCATATTCGTTACGTGGTCAACTTGGGCAAGCAGTAGTAATGTTGAAATGGACTTAAAGTTCTTTGTGCATTATTTCTTTGGATTTGTTCTTAGTTGATTAAATAGTTATGACTTATGAAAACTGAGTTCTTTATTTTTATGGACTATTCTTAATTATTTTTATCTAAGAAGTTTATCTAATATGTATTATTTGTAATACCTAATAAATACAGTCAATGTATATACTTCAATTCACATTTACTCTACACATTTATTAGTAGCTCACCCGTGCGATGCACGACAGAAAAATTCCATGCAAACTACTTTAAGGAGAAAACAATAAGTATCAAAAAAAAAATTAATTCCAAATAAATTAGAACAACTTAATAGTACTACATTTATACAATCTAACATGAGTTTTATAAATTTTGGAAAATTTCTTTATAAAAAAAAACGTACTCACACAGTTTGAGCTCTAGAAAAACACCTCCAGTTTCCGAAATTCCTTCTGTGTTCTAAGCGTTGTTCTCGTTCGCTGGAACTTTAGTTTGAGTGCTAAACTATTGTTCGAAGTCATCGTATCCTGGGAAACGATTGTTGCAACGCTCCTAGCACCCCGGGAGGCAACGAATACGTTTTAAGGAAATCGTGCGTGGCACGAGCTTTGGCTTATTCTGATTCATCTCATTTCTCGTTCGCTGGAACGAGAAATGAAAGGATGAATGGCTACGGTCGGGTTTGATAAGAAAACTTATCGCAGGATCGCCTGTAAAAACGGACTGGCCTTGAAGAAAGATAGCCCCCGTATCCCGATAGCTATTCGGACGGGTCTGGCTAGCTCGCTCCCAGGATAATCCTACCACGTTTCAGACTCGTAGCTACCTTGACTGAAACCTTCGACCGTTGCCCGAATTGCCGTTGAATAACTAGACTCAATGAAATAAATTAGAGTATAGAAACTCTCTCACACGTATATGTGATAAAATTTGCAATTCACGGGCTTTAATCCCATTCCTCGTGACAACTTCTCCAGCAATTCTCTATCCAATGCCTTGGTTAGCGGATCCGCTATGTTATCCTTTGACTTCACGTAGTCAACAGTGATAAGACCCGTTGTGAGGAGTTGTTTAATGGTATTATGTCTACGACGAACGTGTCTAGACCTACCATTGTAGAGATTGCTCTACGCCCGCCCTTCCAATTGCCGCCTGACAATCGTGAACAATGCAACATGAACACAATAGGAGTTGTTCAGTGTACTTGTCCAACGTGAACAATGCAAGAACACAATAGGAATTTTCAGAGATGGATGGGAGAGTTTTTAGAGCTAAAGAAGAGTGTAATACGTCTGTGAGCTTGTGTATTTTGCAAAGCAGCTGCCAGCCTTATATAGGGGAGGATCTTGGTGTGTTAATAGCCTGTTTAAGGCATATGGCCGTTGGACATCGTTAACACTATCTTTAGAACATAGATTTTCGGACGGCATTCGTGTGTGCAGGTCGCCCGCACAAGCAAGTCGCGCTTTTTGTTCTTCGGTTTCGGGATTTGATTCGCACCCCCCCTGCACGCGTGAGAGAGCCTTTCACCTTAGGAATCTTAACTCCTTAGGGGGGGGGGGGGGGGGGTTCCCTTTATAAAGGGTCCAAAATCTCTTGTGATTTTCGGTGTGGGAAAAACCCATACCAAAAACTCACCTTTTCCTAGTTTTCTCCATTCCAACGGGTAAACTTCGAAAAGCGATTTCTCATTCACCCGTTATCCGTTTTGAGCGTACCATATATCGAATTGTAGCCCTAAGCAAGGACTATCCGAAACCACTTTGACCCGACCCGAATCGGAAGTGGACCCCGCTCAAAAAATTGCCCCAAAATGACCATTTAATGCAATTTAACACACTTTTTTCCAACAATCCCCCACATGAATGAAAATTGATTTTCGAGACTTAAAAAAGAAACGAAGATAGGAGGACACGTTGTGTTCACCGGATGATCCCTGCATACGGAGAGGTAGGTTTAATCCTTTGAACCTTCCGTTGTAAAGACACGTTTATTTACTGGCTGTATAGTGGACTCGATGTCCTTGAACTATACACCATCGTGTAAACATTGACTTATCTTTACACAGGAACCTTCCAACTTTGTTCCGTTCTCATGGGTGTGCCCGTTTTGGCCATGGGTCACCGTCCTGGTTCTGCAAGAGTTTCCAACACTCCAAAATTCCAAAAAAGAAATTTTGGAAAATTTCTTTATAGATAACATTGGTTGTCTTCGTTGTGATTTGATTGTGACCATCCCCATTAACAAAATTTCATCATAACTCTATAAATCGCAAGGTAGAGTTAATTGTGAGAGAAAACTTTCTTATTTAACAACAATCTTAAATGAGAGATAGATTGATCATGACTTATGTTAATCGTCATTGCATAAACGGTCATTATTGGAAATTATCTTATAATCCGTAGTACTATAGGGGGTGTTTGGCAAATGGCTGTCAGCTGTTGGCCGTTGGCTGATTGCTTTAGCTGGTAGATGTCAGCAGATTCTGTTAGCTGTTTTGATTAGCTGTTATTGTTAGCAGTTTGTATAATGATGTTTGGTTAAATGGTTGTTTGCAATTAGCTCTTAAATGACAATTAAGGACATCAATTAATTTTTTTGATGTTATTACTACAACTACTTAAACCTTTTCAATTTATGAAGTACAATTTAAAGTAGGAAAAATTGATAGTAATAATCCCAACTATTGGCGATCCACTTTTAATAATCCCAACTATCGATTATTTCAGAATAATCCCAACTTTAGGGATCTTCCGCCAATAATGGTCCCTTTAATAAATTCTTGTAGTTTCTAAAGTGGATGAGAAGAGATATAGCAAGTAATCCCCATAAATAATCCCAACTGTTAATTTTTACGCTTAATTTCTATTTGAAATTCACTTGTTATAGGAGGTAATATCTGGTCATGGACCACTATTGGCGGAAGGTCCATATAGTTGGGATTATACAAAAATAATCAATAGTTGAGATTATTGTCAGTAGATCGGCAATAGTTGGGATTATTATTTTCAATTTTTCATTTAAAGTAAAAATAAAAGTTTATGAACAGGCAAAAACTATTTTAAACATTTTTTTATGTATTAATAAATTTAATAAGTATGATCCTCTTTTGATCCACAAATGGAGTTATAAGTAAACATGTATTTAACAAAAAAAATGTATTTAAATGGATATTAACCCCCCATGACGCAGCCAGTTAGCACCAACTAGGATACACTATACAACATGTCAACATGCACCAATGTTGCCAAAATAAAAAATGGCTGGCCACCAGATCTATTTTTGACGGAAGTAACGCGAGGCCCACAGACCGACAATACTGGTAGTGCACCCTTTCCATGCCCGCTGACCACTCCTCCCGTTACCAACAAGTATTTGATCTCTACTCTCTGCACAACAAATAGCAGTGACGGAGATGGCCGCATGAGTCTTAGAGTTGAAGATGAAAATTGAAGAAATTTCTTTCAATTTTGGGATATTATCCGAAATAGGACTAAAAAGGTTTCAAAATTTCAAAATAGGACTAACATGTTTTTATTCCCAAAATAGGACTAATTACTGTCATGTTTTGGCAGTACTAGACTTCAAACATGGCAGTATTTTCCAAACTTGGCAGTAATTACTCCTATTTTGGGAATAAAAAACATGACTGTTCTATTTTGGAATTTTCAAACTGTTTTAGTCCTATTTCGAGAACTTTCCCTTCAATTTTAAAAGAAGAAAGACGGCCAGAATCTTCATCAAAATCGGGCGGAAGATGTAGAAGGCCTTTGGGTAGAATATGAATATCCCGTAAATGTTCAAACTGCCGATACTAAACCCTAGGGGTTGGTTAGCGTTTCTTATTTTGGCCTTTTGGGACAATAAGCCAAATCAAAAAGTCAATTTACCAAACACTCATATTACTAATTAATGCAGTCAAAAGACCAAAAAGTAGTCAAATTAGCCGAAAAATGGCTGATAGATTACTAACCAAACACCTCCTATGTAATTTGAAAGGAAATATACCATGCATCTCAAGGTGTTAGTGAGGCTTCTAAAATCTTACCCATGTTATGCACAATCGAATTTTTATAGTTTAATTTATTAAGGGGAAAGTTCTTGAAATATGACTAATAAAGTATGAAAGTTTCAAAATAGGACTGCCATGTTTTTATTCCCAAAATAGGAATAATTACTGCCAAGTTTGGAAAATATTGCCATGTTTGAAGTCTGGTACTGCCAAAACATGACAATAATTAGTCATATTTTGGGAATAAAAACATGGCAGTCCTATTTTGGAACTTTCAAACTTTATTAGTCATATTTCGGATAATATTCTCTTTATTAAGATATACTCCCTCCTTATCATAGAAAGGTTATTATGTTCCTTTTTTGGGCGTCCCATATAAAGATTCTCATTTCCATTTTAGAAAACAATTAACGATCTTAAATGAAAAGGTTATCATTAAATATTAAAAATAATACATTTATAACTTCATAGTTATCAACACTAACTCCATTATATTATATTATATACATATTCAAAATAATTATTTCTCAAAACATAACCGAACTACCTTATTTAATTATTGTCTAAATCATCGTGTCGTTTTGCCATGAATCTTTTCAATTGGACCGAGGTAATAAATAACAATAAAAAGCAATAAATAATCTATGACCCTAGGTGTTGAATATGTATTACAAATAAGAAATAATTACCCTAGGTGTGATTAAAACTCAATGAGTTTCTCAATCTATGACCTAACTAGTTTTTTTTTTCTCAAAATAATATTATAATTCATAATATTTAATTAAAATTCATAATTAATAATTAATTATTATTTTTAATGACAAATATACCCTTTTGCTTATACATATAAAACCCTAACCTCCTACTCATTTTCTACAACCCTAGATACAACCTCCCTCACCCACTGTGCAGCCGCCCCGCCGTCCAGTCGCTCTGCCGTCCAGCCACTGTTGCCGCCGCCGCAGGTCTTCCAGCCACCGCCCAATGCCGCCACCGCTGCCCACCACAGGTATTATTTCTTAACTATTAAGTAGATGAAAAAGCACCACTAAGAATAGTATCGTAGGTTGCGATTGTATTGTGCTTTCCTGCTGCTCATTTGCCGGCAAGTCTCCCGCTCTTTTTTTATAAATTTTCTTTGATGAGATTTGTGGGAAACTTGAAGACCTTTTTGGTTTCGATCTGTGGTTTAGACATTGTTCGAGTCTGGATTAGATTTTAGATATTCTTAGATCTGATAAGATTATGTTTGCTTCTATTCATATTTCGCTTTTTACAGATTGGAGCTCTCGCTCAGTCTTCAGTGGGCAGATGGATCTTTCAATGTAGTTATTGGGACTCGTTCGCTTCCTCTCTTCTTCGCGCCCCAACCTCCATCCCGATGCGTACGTGTAGACACCGCCACCCATCTGCACACCTCTGTCTCCATCCAACCAATGCCGCCATCCAGCAACATGAAGGCACTCCAACTCACCTTCGTTATTGCCCATTCGTCCCCCTCATTCTTCCTTTTTTTAGATTTGGTTTTATATTGAGTTTAGGGTTTATGGGCATTGGACACTGTCACTGAACATTTCAATAAATGTGGAGTATTGACAGTGAATATATATGGTAATAGATGTGGAGTATTCACCCCAAGGGTGCTGGCGGCCAAGATCCCCAACAAATATCGGGGGCAACCCATCAAACCATATGAGGGGAAGACTGATCCCCAAGATCGAACACTACAGCAGGTATCAAAATAGTATGATGATGATGGGGGCCTCGGATGAATACTTATGTCGTTGGTTCCTTTCCACCTTGGAGGGACCAACGTATGAGTGGTTCAACCGGTTGCCCGAAGGCAGCATCGATTCTTGGCAGGAACTTGCCCAACGCTTCCTCACACAATTTGCCGGGAGGCATCGTTCAAAAAAGCACTTCTCCCACCTTTTGAACGTGAGGCAACAGAAGGAGGAAACCCTTCGGAGTTTCCTGGAGCGATGGAGGCAGACCTCCCTCGAGGTCGAGGGCGCCGATGACAGAACACTGATGGCCCTCTTCCACACCGTCCTCCGCAACGGTAATTTCTCCAGGAGCCTTATCACTGACCCCCCCACCCCCCCCCCACCCCCCGCGATTATACAAAGGCCCTCCAGCGGGGGGGACCGTTATGCCGCAGAGGAGATCGAAAAAGATTGCCGTAACACGGATCCTTCTCAAAAGAATGAGGGCAGAAATCGGCACGGAGGGCCTCCCCCTCCGGCTAACCAAGAGGCGCAATACAACGATCGCCCCCGAGGTGGCCAAGCCAGACCCGGGGGCGGTTACAAAAATAACCCGAAGGCATGGGCGCAACCCGTCCTCCTTGAGCACCCACGCACTCCCCTGACGCATCCCGTCAGCGTCATTTTGGATTACGCAGAAGAGCGAGGGCTCGTGGAGCGAGACTCCCGCACACCCCTCGAGATTTATGCCATCAGCCCTGATGAGCCTTACTGCCGCTTTCACCGCCACCATGGGCATAAGACTGATGACTGCCATCAGCTGAAGACAGCCATTGAAAGGCTGATACAGGCGGGCCACTTGTCCCAATTCATCAGGGGGGCCCCTCCTCAGGGCTTCCCTCATCGCCAAGGGCCTCCGCCAAAGGCTAATAAATGGGTAAACCCTAACACCATTCCTTTGGGAACCCACAGGGAAAGAAGCGTGAAATCGGGGGCCTCAGTGAGGAAGAGGACCCCCAACACCAATACAAGCGTCATGTCCATATGATCAACGGTGGCAATACCGGAGGCGACTCAACAAGCCAAAGGAAGAAGTGGGCTCAGTCCCTTTACATCGGGAAAGTTAGCCAGACACCCCCAACCAAAAGGCCGAGGGCGGATCCTATCTTCTTCACAGATGCGGACCTGCCCCCGGGTTCCCTTCCCCACAGGGATGCCCTCGTCATCCGCACTGAGATCAACAACGCCATCATCCTCTGCACTTATGTTGACACCGGGAGCTCCATCAACGTGATGTACCTCAGCACCTTCCGGGAGTTGGAACTTGACAGGGGTAGCCTTCGCCATATCAAAACACCCCTCTCCGGTTTCACCGGGGACAGCATAGACGCCGAAGGCGTCATCAACCTTATGGTTGAATTCGGTGACGGATCCCACAGAGCCAAGCTCGAAGTGGAATTCGTCGTCGTCAACCTCGACTGCGCGCACAACATTATCCTCGGCCGGCCTACCCTCGAGGACTTGGAAGCTGTCATCTCCATGAGGCATCTCTGCCTCAAGTTCCCCACACCTACCGGCATCGGCTACTCGAGGAAGAATCAGAAGCTCTCCAGGGCCTGCTACCTCCAGCTTACCAAGAAGGTTAGTAAAACCGAACTCCGTATCGATACCATCACCAGCAAAGCCTTGGAAGAAGAAGAAGGTAGGCCGAGGGCTGAACCTGCCGAGGACACTGAAGATTTTGCACTCGATCCGGCCAAGCCGGAAAGAGTCCTGAAGATTGGAGCCAAGCTCCCTGAAGACCTAAGGACCGGCATCACCGAAGCCCTCCGCGCCTACTCCCTTATTTTTGCATGGGGGCCGGAGGACATGCCGGGAATTGACCGAAGGGTCATCACCCACCGCCTAGCGGTGGACCCTTTGGCCAAACCAATACAACAAAGAAGGAGGCTGATATTCATGTAGTTTCTGATTGTATGTTTGTATTTTTAACTAGTTTTTATTAGTTCTAGTTGTGGAAATTACACATTTTTGGTGTAATACTTTATTTTCATTTTTATTTGTAATTTAGTTAGATTAGGATTTTTCTGAGCTAAACAGGTCAAAGATCATCCAAGGGATCAAGATTGGACCTTAAGAGATCAAGGAAAATGCAAGGAGGCAAGAAAGATTTCGATTTGGAAAAAATACTCATGTACCCGGTCGGGTAATGCCTATACCCGATCGGATAATTGCTTGATTCGACTGTCCAAATCAAATCCGAAGACAAATGATCGTGGGAGCAAATTTTCATAAAGATTTGTCACATACCCGATCGGGTATATACCCTTACCCGATCGGGTATGCCCAGAAAAGTGACTTTCTGGGCAATTTTCTGAGATACCCGGTCGGGTATCAGACCCTGCAGCTCCCAAAAGCCTTTAAATACACCTCTTTCCTTCACAATAAAATCTTCAATTCACATATACTCTTTAGCTCAGTTTAGATTAGTGTTTTCTTTATATTTTCCATCATGTTTAGTCTCCAAATGAGGAGCTAAACTCTTCCATCTTGGTTTTGCTACTTTGAAGCTTAATGAATTTGTAAGTTGTGAGTTATTCTCTTTAATCTTCTTCCTTGAATATTAATTCTTCCTTTAAATACTATTTCTATATCAATGTTGGGGAGTGTTACTAAGATGACAATTAGTTAACATCTTGACATTAGTTATAGTAATAGCTATTTCTTCCTCTATGTTAATATTGGGGAGTGTTACTAAGATGACAATTAGTTAACATCTTGATATTAACTATAGTAGGATTCATCTTCTTTAATATTTATCCTTGAGTATTAATTAATTGCTATTCATATTTCATATTAATATTTTGAACATTACTTAAAGGATCAACTAGTTTTGTTTCATATATTAATTATTACTAGAATCGGTCGATTAATACGCTTGTTATTAATTCGGTCCTTTCACGGTAGTAAACTTGGGTTATTAATGCATGCGTTTCATGGTTAATAAACCAAGGGGAATTAATTATATTGATTAAACCAATAAACCGCTTGTGTTGAGGTTATCAATCTCAATCGTTTTCATCTTGATTTTATTGCTACTATCGAGTGAATATACGACGCGTGTTCTATATTAACTCGGTAGTAAGTTTTATTAATGAACGCTTCTCGTTATTAATAACTACCCTCGATGAATTGGATATACTCCTCGATTGAGTATTCAAGAGGAAGATAGTTAAAGATATAACCGGGATCGACGAACATTTCATTAAGTGGATAAAAGCAAAACCAAGTCTCCTTCTCATTAATTAAACCACATAACTCGTTCATCTTTGTGCTTAAATATAATTTAAGTTCATAAACTAATCATAAAAACCCCCCTTGTTACTTATTTCTAATTCTATAAAAAGAGAAGTGTGCCTTTCCCTGTGGATACGAACCTTACTTCATTATACTACGTATAATTGTTGTATTGTATTATTATTTTGAGTGCACACCACGACAAAGTGCACGTTAAATTTGGCGCCGTTGCCGGGGAAAGGCAATTATTTTTCTTTTTATTTTATTTCAGAAAAATAAAAAAAATAAAAAAATTATAAAAACAAAAAAAAAACTTACTCTTCTATTTTCTGAACTTACATGAGTATATGGATACCAATACATCATCCTTAGAGAATCAAATTTCCACCTTGACTTCTCTAATAAAGGAATTTATCTTAAACTCAAAAGTTCAAGATGTCAAGACCTCTAACATTTGCATGTCTCACGGACATCTTACGGATTTTTGCCCAAAGCTCCAACAAGAATACCTTGAAAATTTTGATTATGTTGGCTTCCAAAGGAAAGTACCTCACATGATGTATGATCCATTCTCTAACATGTCTACGGAGGACATGCTTCGGACTCTTACTACCAACATGACCACCATGCAAAACAATATGGTGCAATTCCAAAATGAGACCAAGTCTAGAATTTTAAACTTGGAAACTCAAGTGAGTCAAATAGCCGGAGCCGTGAGTGGGCTTGAAGCAAGGGATTTAGGAGAACTTTCCTCTCAAATAGAATGTGATCCTAAACAGCAAACTTTTGCAATCACAGTGACAATTGAGAAGGAAATGCAAAAGGAGATCCCAAATCCAGAAGAAATACAAGAAGAAAGAAACATGGAGTTCCAGCTGGTCAAAGAAGAGAATGAACCGAGTTTCAAGGTCCAATATCTGACCTTATCATCCTTTGAAGTACCCCCAACATTTCTAAAAACTTTGAGGGAAACTCATAAAATTGAAAAGGAGGATGACAACTTTGAAATCTTCAGCAAAATGGAGGGATCGAAACACCTTCCACTAACCATGCTAAACTATAATTTCTTTCCCTCCCTCTCACAACATGAATCAATGGAAATCTGGATATTTGATCCTGGAAAGATTTTCAAAGTGAAGGGTCGGAAAATTGAGAATTTCTACGAAAGTTCTAGGAGTGAAAATGTGAAGAAAATGAATCATCACGATCTAAGCTTGAACGACTAAACAATGATGGCGTCGTGTCACGACGTTAAATAAGGCGCTTCTTGGGAGGCAACCCAAGTGAGGTACATTATTGTGTGTTTAATGTTTTTTTTCTCTAGCAGCTTCCTCTTCAACAATTTTCATATTTAATCTTCCAAAACACCATACAACTCCACCCCAATCACCCCAAACCTCATAACCCTATCCTTCTTTCTTCAAAATCTATCCAAATCCTCCACCAAACCCCACAAAAATTTCA